TTTGACCCTTAATTATTATTTTCATATGTTATCCTTTATCAACCTGTATTTATTATCAGCAGCGCAAAGAAAAAAATGAAAGATACTATTTTTTAATGTTGTGACTCCCACAATAACAAAATTCATGGTCTTCTTTGTGGATGCCCTCACCCAAAGACATATCTATTATGTTTATATCTACATTATGTGTGTCCTCTCTGCATTCTTTATATAAATGTTTGATGTATCTATGTGACTGTCCCTCAGTCCATCCTTAGCCCAATCTTCTATTAGTAAAAAGGCTGCTAGTTGTGGGTTAGAGATGGAAAGAAACAGAAATAACCAATATCCTGAATATTCTAATTTTCAGCCAGCTGTTTTCCATAAGGACAGATTCTGCCTTGTCCAGCCTCAGGTCCCTGGGGGACAACAAATGTAGCCTCTTTATTCCTAGCTGAGGTCTGGCTGCCAACCCCGGTGTCGGACCCCCATTCATAGCAGGTTGGGACCAGTGAGAGGCCCAGTGTGCCTTTTGTGTGGGCCTGAGGCTGGCCTTAGTGCCTGGGGGATGGCCCTTTGCTCTGGCCGCATCTGGGCTCTCACAGGGCTTTCCAAAGTCAAGGGGGCGCGGCGAGGTGGGAGGCAGCCCATGTCCTTGCCAGGTGACTTCCCTTTAATGGTGTCCTGGAAGGCTGCTCTGTCCTGTGGGACTGCTCTGTTTTGAGAGAGCGAGCGTGGTAAGAATGTTGACTGGGGTCTCTTCAGTATTTGTGGTTGGTGGCTGCTTAGAAAGGAGTCCCAGTGCCCCGTGCATTCTGTGATTTTGCTCACAGGTTCTAAGGCCACGCGGGGAAGGAAGGATTCCAGGTTTCTGTTCTCTGCCTTCTGCAAGCGCGGGTGAATCACGCAGCTGAACTCACTCAGCGGAAACCCATCCCCTTGCCTCCCTCCTGGCCCATTCGGACGCACTGCGCTCCTCTTGGTTCTTCCCCACCGACGGACAGTAACGAGGTGTGCCTTTCCCTTCAAACGGTCACCAGCCCCCGTGCCCCTTGGCAGGCGCGGGGTCCGCTGTGAGGCTGACTGTGGGTAGGGACACGCACGTGTTCACGCCTTAATGCTTCTCCTTGTTCCCGTGACCAGAACTGTGGCCAGAAATGGTACATGGCCATGGGCAGTTTTGAGTGGCCCCCAAAGGGAGCCAATCAGACGCAGACACTTTATAGAAAACATGGCCTTGAGTCTCAGCTTCAAATCTATCGAACACGACAGGAGAAAGTTTAAGTATGGCCTTGGGTTTAATTCACACGGGGGCCACCTTGCTGGTCTGGAGACGGCCCGGCCCCCAGGCAGCGCTCGGTAGGTGAGGGGAGATGGAGGGATGGGGTGCGCTCCGTTGCGTGCGGGTGGCCCCCACCCGGCCGTTCCTCAGTCACCAGGAGCCCATTACAGGGGAAACGATCACCAAGCTGCTGCTGATTTTCTTTACGTTTCTGGCTTTTCTCAACCACGGGGAAAATACGTGACGTAGGTGTGTGGAATTGAAGGAAAAAAACTATGTATGCAAAATGGGAAGCCGCTCCCGCCTAGAGTGTGAGCAAAAAGCAAAGAAGTCTGGCTTGTTTTAATGTTTGCAATAAATACCAGCCACCCCAAGACATAGGGATTTGAGTCAAGCGAGAGAACTTGATTCAATCACCTGCAAAACAGCTATTGGGTGAAAAAATGAAGGGAAGATAGCGTCTGATTAGTGACTCATCACTTTCCAAGTGGCTTCTCCTACATTACTTCATTTTGTGAAAAGTAAACTTGACCTTTCTGAATCTTAGGGTGAAGCGATTGGTAATTTCTTGCAGTGAGCAGAGGACGTTACATCGATAAGCGCAGGAGTTGTGAACCAGGCAAAACATTCTCTTCTGCTGCTTCACATTTTTGGTCAACCATCACAGGTCCATGGGGAAGGTCTCTAAGGATTTTTAAAAAAATGATTGTTTTAACTTAGAAAATGATTGCATTTTATCTTTTTCTGTTGTCCTCAGTTTCTTTCTCTGGCACCTTCCTCTGAAGAACTGTTACTTGCATTTGGGTGGATTATCATTTAGCTTTCAAAGCATACCATTTCCCCCTCATTAAAACCTCATAGTTGCCAAACTTCATTAAGATAAATGGAATTATTCATCTGTCCCCCATGCCCCGCCCCTCTGGCCACGGGGTCAATAAAATGATGTTAAGCAGGCGAGGGTAAGGCTGGTGAACACTTTTAAATGTCACTAAGTAATTTCAGGAAGAGCTGGCCTGCAATTGTACTGAATGATGGCCATGCTCTCACCCTAATGGCTACTAATGACTTACATAATAACAGTTTGCACTAGAACCATGGCTGTTCAAAACTTGCATTTTGCGATGGTTATAGCTAGTCGTGGGTATTTCCGACACTCATTTAAAATTACACTGAAAAGTAGTAAAAATCAGAACAGTGCAAGACAAACCAAACCTTGAGACTAACGAGTAGTCAAGGATGGCAACCAAGAAAGAAAAAGAAACAAGAGTATAGCCAACCTTTTTTTTTTTTAATTAGAGTATATTATACTTCCAAACTGGATACACTAGAAATTGGCAATGCAACATAAGATGCAAAGGAATATACCAGTTACTGTCAAAATGACCCTGTACAGCCTTGTAATGCAAAAAGCTTTATACAATACAAATTTTCAGTAATGTACACAAACCTTGATAGTATGATCATCTGAACATAATATGAGGGGTTAAAAAAAGGAGAGAAGAAGGAAAGTGCTGAGAACACTAACTGCAGTACTCTATGGAAAAATAAGCTCGCTTTCATCGAAGAATGCATAGTGAGAACAGTGGGAGTTAGTTGGCAGGTGAATCTCTCAAAGATGTTAGTGTTTTACACGGAAAGGATATCTATGGAATAATCCTTCCCTGAGTATCAAACTGCAAACCAAATTCAGGGGTACATATTATCTCAGTGGAGTCTGAAAAATGCTGTAGATTTTTTCTTTATTAATAACAACAATAATAATAATATAAAAAGTCAAACAAACTCCAAACACACCTTTTCTCACTCAGAAAACTTTTATAATTTACCAGAAAGATTGATGACTCTTTCCAAAGTGCTAAAAAAGTTGCCCAATTACATTAAGCATAACGAAGTCATTCAAATACAAGTTCAGTGGCGAGCAGTGAAATGCATGGCATTTGAATGGTAAGGGTCTCCTTCCAACGGCCCTCTCCGTCTCTCCTCGCGCAGGGTTCAGCCTAGGACCTCGTATTGCACAAGCAGCATGCTGTAAAAGCTGCAGTCCCGGGCTACCCTTCCAGGTTTTTAACCTGCCGGTGCTCACGTGTGATTCACCTTTCCTGCCAGCCTCTGGGGGGTCCCTGTGGCCCTCTTTCCTGTCATCACTGAACTTGGAGTTTTGAAAGCACATTATTAGCCAAGTGGCACATTCTCCATTATATGGGGATCAAGACATAACTTAAAAAAACAAAAAAAACAACCAATCCACCCATTAGCCCGGTATTCTCGGAGTGTATTCTACTTGTCTATAGTGTCTTTTACTGAGACGGTGACATGGCGAGGTTGATGGGCATTTCACACAGGCCAAGGGCGAATGCCTGCCGGAGGATGACCGACCTCGCAGCTTCCTGCCCCAGCCGGCTCAGCCTCCCTGCCCCCGGGGCATCTCCGTAGTGTAAACAGGTTTGCCAGGGCCGGTGACTGGCAGAGGGAAGTGTAGCAGACCTGCCAGGTCTGGGGGAGAAGGGTGGGTGTGTGAATGGGGGGGAGCCATGGTGTGGACAGACCCTACAGGCTTCTGGCTTCCTGTTCAATTGCACCACTTTCGAGGGGGCTGTCAGTGAGCAAGCTGACTAGGAAGAAAATCGGGGATGCTTTTATTTTCCCCTGGTGAAACGGACAAAAAAGAAAACATCCCAACTCCAGGATAACACCTGATGGAAAACAGCAACGCAGTAAGAAGCATTCCTCCTGCACACCAGCTCTTCAATAGATAAATAATATATAGACTTTTATATCCCAAACTTCCCATTATTATGATACAAAGCGCAATTCTTCCTGCTCTTTGAGCCCGTTTCAGACAGGAAATTCTGCTGTCTTAAAAATACAAGCAATGAACATATTCCGACAAAGATTCTTTTCCTTTCCTTCTTATTAAATCACCCATCACTTTTCAAGACGAGCCAAGGGCTACGCTACCAATCACATCTGCTTCTTGCTGCCATAAAGTGCTGCACATAAGTTGCCATTTTAATGACCACAAAATAAGAGCTTTAAATACATATAAAGTTAGCCTCCTAGCAGGTTACATCTACCAGGCGTTAACAAAACGGGATACAGGGTTATTACGTGGAGAATACCGCTAGAGCCAGACGACCTGCGAACACGGATGCTTCTCAGGGGCATAAACGGAACCGTAGGACTAAACAGCACCTTGTTTTTGGGTGGTTATACGTCAACGAGGTTGTGACAGAACTTTCAAACATACAGTCTACTCGTTCCATATAAAAGGTACACCTTCTTCCTTTCATCTTAANACATTCTTTGTACTGGCTTCTTTCACTGCGATGAACGTGCTTTTTTCCCTCCTGGGTTGTTCATCCACCGCAGTCTGTCCCTGAGCCCCTTCATCACCTTCCCCTATTTTACGGCTACAGAGTGGTGGGGCCTGGTGCGTGGTCGATGAGAGAACGGTAGACGCCCGCGGTGCTGCTGGAGATTTCCGACAGAGCTGGGGACCTTGCGCTTGGATCTCCTCTGGTTATGAAAACTTGGGGCAGCAAGAGTCCCATCTGGAAGAAATGTCCCGCAGCACTGCAACCAACATCACGAAACTCAAGTGTGTTGTGTGTGTGTGTGTCCATACGTACACCATGTGTGTGGGACACACGCAGTGCATCATTTTTTTAAGGGCAGATTATATATATATATATGATGTATTAATTCAGTGATTACCATTTGTTTGCAGGAAAAAAAAAAATAGTCTGAGCATTTATACCCAGAATTGATCCAAACCCCTTTTAATCTCCTCGGCTGGATTTATCAACCATAAAATTTTTCACTCACACTATTTTTTTTTTTCCTGCAAACAAATGGTAATCACTGAATTAATACATCATATATATATATATAATCTGCCCTTAAAAAAATGATGCACTGCGTGTGTCCCACACACATGGTGTACGTATGGACACACACACACACAACACACTTGAGTTTCGTGATGTTGGTTGCAGTGCTGCGGGACATTTCTTCCAGATGGGACTCTTGCTGCCCCAAGTTTTCATAACCAGAGGAGATCCAAGCGCAAGGTCCCCAGCTCTGTCGGAAATCTCCAGCAGCACCGCGGGCGTCTACCGTTCTCTCATCGACCACGCACCAGGCCCCACCACTCTGTAGCCGTAAAATAGGGGAAGGTGATGAAGGGGCTCAGGGACAGACTGCGGTGGATGAACAACCCAGGAGGGAAAAAAGCACGTTCATCGCAGTGAAAGAAGCCAGTACAAAGAATGTGCGATAGAAACCTCAGGGCGCACGACACGCGGCTTTCTCTTTCAGGATCCACACACCCCATTCACCCAACAGAAAACAAAAATGCACCAATATATAAGCTTCCAAGTGCTGATTGCTATTAAGGACACTCTCTTTAGGGTTTAACAAGACAAAAATTCCTTTCAATAGGAGTACGGAGCAGGGCCAAGAGTGGGCGTGGGCGGCTGGGGAGGCATGCCTCTGAAGGTAGATGCACGCAGTAGGTCACCTCTCTGAAGATTGGATAAAGCAGCTTTCAGGTCAATGCAATAGGTATACACACAGAGCCAATTCTCTATTCCTTACTAAAGATATACAGTACACGTGGTTCAGACCCGCGGGGGTCTGTAGGTTTTGCAGCAACATACACCTGCTGGGGTTGTGTTTAAGTTTTGTGGGTTTATGTTTTTGTCTCTGTCACTTTGTTTTTGGTACAGAACGTGGCTGCCCTCAGACAGTCTCTGCTCTTTCTCTCAGTCCGAGATAGGCGAGGAAGGAGTGTTTGGGCGAGGGGATGCTGGGAGGTGCAGTCTGAGGTCGGGGAGGGTGGAATGTGAGATCCAAGTGGTTCTTGGGGTATAACATTGTCAAGGGAATGAGATGGGCAAAATCTGAGTTCCGGTACTTGTCAAAGCGCAAAGGGGAGCCGTTGAAGGCCAGAGCCTTGAGTGCCAGGTTGGGCTCTGAGCTGCTGCCGTGGGCAGCGGATAGGGCCACGGTCTGCAGAGCCTGGGAGGCAGACATGACCGACAGGGGAGACAAGAGATTCCGGGAGCTCCCGACGACGAGGAGCGGGGCCCCGGGGCCGCCCGGTTTCTTGGGGGCCGGACACAGGCCCTTCTTGTCCTCCTCGGGGCAGTCCCCACTCTGGTGCTTCTTGACGTGGCGGCTGAAGACGAAGGGGTGTGTGGTCTTGAACAGGCACTCTTCGCAGCTGAAGGTCTGGCGTGGGGCGTGCTTCAGCTTCTTGTGCAGGTTGAGATTGTCCTTGCGTTTGCAGCTGTAGCTGCACTGGTCACAGTGGAAGGGCCGCTCCCCGGTGTGGACGCGCACGTGCTCGATGAGCTTGTTGGCGGTCTTGGACAGGTAGCCGCACTGGTCGCACTTGTAGTGGTTGCCGAGGCGATGCTCCCGGGTGTGCGTCTCCAGCTCCAGCTGGTTGGCCTTCACTGTCTGGCAGATCCGGCACTTATACTCCATCTTGTAGTGGGTCTTGAGGTGGCACTCCATGGCAGCGGGGCGGTTGGTGGAATAAATGCAGAATGGGCACCTGCCGGGGGAAGCAACGACAGGGAGGGTCAGCCAGGCAGGTTCTGCCGTGGCCCTGCTGCTCCCCTCCTCACCGGCCACCCTGCAAACCCTGAGGCCTGGCTGCCCCTGCCCAGCCCAGCCCTGCTGCCTCTCTGGGGGTTAAGACGACCCTCTTGGGCTCTCTCTGCAGACAGAGCTGTCCCCACTGGGGAGGAGCTAGCTCCGAGGAGGTGTGCTCAGCCTACTCTGGGTCTCCTGGCGGGAGCAGCAAACACCAACCCTCAGGAAGGGGAGCAGAGAAAGGATGAGAATTACACGAGCTGTGGCTCCCCCTCCACCCT